ACCAACGACCGTTCCACGTTCAAAGTCGCTGAGGTCTGTTGATTTGCCCATTCTGCAGTCAAAACACACACACTAAAGCAGGGCTGCCTGCTTTAGGTCACAACCTAACCTACCTAACCTAGGTTATGTTATGCTGTAGCTGCATGGAAAGTTGAATGTAGGGGTATCTCTAATTTTGTGGACATTGAGTGTACTGTATATAGCACGTTCTGACTCCTCGGTTGTCGCGTAATACGCTTCGGACTCCACAAAAATCGAGTGAAAAAGGAGAACCTTTCCTCCGACTATTAAGTACATCTCGCAGAACTTGTATCTCGCGATACAAGTTCTATCGTATCTATCTCGCGATAGAGAGATGACACGATGCACTTTCCTTGCACAACGATAATCATGCCTGGAAACTGGTGAGTTCTCCTCTGACCTTACTATGTATTTCGATACATCAGAAGTAAAGCCAAGGATTCGTTTCGGACACACGGAGAAGTAGGAAATGTGAAAAACAGGAGTATCATTTGGGTACGATTGCAAAATGAGGATATTCGATAATCGCGTTTGGATCCTGGTCACGTAATGACAGCAATAAAAATCCTTTCCGCATCGTGCACTGCTTGGACATCGATGAAATAGAAGCATTTGCGATCGATAAAAGTTGTCTGGGCGTTCTATTCGGATCCGACGGTCGTCAATGACACCGATCACTCCTGGAAATCCGACAATATCAAATAATTATCTTCGAACAACTACTCCGTTTTTCCTCCTAGGAATGCAATGAGTGGTGCCAATGGGCAACGGCTTGGGCCATTCCGTTTCTAGGAATCGACGCCACATAAAATCGAAGGGGCAGCATAACGTGCAAATCGAAAGGCTTTCGTGATACTCACTCTACTTTCGAGTCATATTATTTAATTACTCAGGGGATGGGTACTAGAACAAATCACGATTCATTGCACACGAACAGTGATTGCTCTTATCTGTCGATGTAAAGTTAAGGGATCCCTTCCACGATCTTCGTTCCTTTCGAGTTCGGCGCGAAGCAGGTCGACATCATTCCCTGATCCCTTTCCAAATTGGTATCTCACGCGGAAGTTCTCATCGACATATTCTACAAAGGGATTAAACCTATGTTTATTCCTCCCATGCGACGACGAGAGCACATTGAACATGCCCTATCCCTTGTCTGGAAACGACACATTTTTCAGCTTCTGTTAGACATCGGTTAGACAATGGTTAAAGGAAGATAGCGTTCATGCGATCCATTTTTGGCCTTAGACATCGGTTAACCGATGACTTTCGGAAGACACCGGGAAAACGTCGTTCGTGCAATGCCGATTGCATGAACGATGCTTATTTTAAACATTGATTATCGATAGTCATTGTTTAAACATTGTCTACGAAAATATCGGTTAACCGTTGTCTACTTTAGATTGCGTGAATGACCCCCAAGCTATGTTTTCATACCCGACGGTTAGACGATGCGGCCCTCATGGTACGTATATACCGTATAGCACGTTCTGACTTCGTGGCTGTCGCGTAATGCACTTCGGACTCCGCAAAATATGGACGAATCAAGTGAAAAATATGAAACTTTCCTCTGACGATGAAGTACATCTCGCAGAGTTTGTTAATGAGAATCTCACGATAGAGAAAGACACAATCCACTCTCCTTGTACAAGAATATTCGTGCCTGGAAATTAGTGAGTTTTCCACTGACCCTACTCTGTATTTCAGTAAATCAGGGGTAACGCCAAGGATTCGTTTTGCGCACAGAAAGTCGGAAATGTGAAAAATAGTATACTTTTTTTTCGATTGCAAAACGAGGATATCCGAGAATCGCGTATGGATCCTGGTTACGAGGGCCACTCAATAAGTTATCTACCTGAATATGAAAGGGATGAGCAACAGGCCTGTGCCTGCTGTGACATGTCTCGACAGGTCTCGTGAGTGCCCCACCACTATACCAGCTCAGTGGCTCAAGTCCGTTCAAAGTGGTAGCGCATTAGATTTCTTTTCCTGAGTCTGTGTCATGGATTTGACGAAAGTTGAACATCGTTCAGTGATCAAATTCCTCACCAAAGAAGGGAAAGCACCTAAGGAGATTCA